GGATGTAGAGGAAAGGGAACCCTTGTACACTGTTGGTGGCAATAGAAATTTGTATAGCCATTATGTAAAACAGCATGAAGGTTCCTTAAAATCATAAAAATAAAACTACCATATAAAAAATAAGTGATGGGATGTCTCTACTGTGATTATGTTATATCATATAAGACACATAGTAGATTGGACTTCTCTTGTGGCCTCAATGAATTAAGTGGCAATGTTGGAGAAGCCTGTATGGCAAGGGAACTGCAGGTGGCCTCAAGAATCTTAGGGCAGCCTCCCACCAACAGTTAGCAAAAAGGTGATGCCCTCCCTCATACAGCCACAGGGAAATGAATCCTGCCTATAATCTGAATGAATCTGGCAATGAATTCTTCCCCAGTTGAACTCCAGAGGAGAACACAGCCCAGGTAACACCTCGTTTGCAGCCTGTGAGACCGGCCTGAGGAAAGCACCCAGCTAAACTCCAGGTCCATGGAAAATATGAGATTAATGTTGTTTTAAGCTAAATTCATGGAAATTGGTTAAGGTAGCAACTGATAATTAATGCAGTAAGAAAAAGTCTAAGGAGATCAGAAGAGACTAAAGAGAAATAACAGCTAAATGCAACATAGGATCATGTGTGGGATCCTGGAAAAGGACATTGATAGGAAAACATATTTGAATAAGACATGCAAATTTGTAGTATTGTACAAGTGTTAATTTCCTGATTTTGATAATTATCCTTTGGTTACGTAAAATAACAAACATTAGAATAAAGGGTATATAAGAACCCTCTGTACTACTCTTGCAACTTTCATCTAAGTCTAAAATGAGTAGAAATTAAAACAAAAAAAGGAAAAATTTGTCTATCTCAAGATCACAAAGATATTTTCCTATTTCTTCCTCTAGAAGCTTGATTGATTGTTTTCACACTTAGACCTACAATCCATCTTGAATTTATATCCACATATGTAGTCAGATGAAGTTCAAAATCATTTTTTTTTCATACAGATATCCAAATGCACTGGCAACATTTGTAAAAAATGCTGGCTTTTTCTTAGGTTGCAGTTAGGCTTTTACTGTAAAGAACGGGACCACATATGTGCAGGGGTCTTTAGACTTTTATGTTCATCCTCTGTCAATCTTTGTGCCAGTACCTCCATTTTAATTCCTGTAGCTTTATATTATGTCTTGAAATCTGGTAATACAAGTTGAAGAACAACTTTGTTCTTTAAAATCACCTTGTCTATTCTGGGTTCTTTGCATTGCTGTGTAATTTTAGAATGAGTTTATTAATTTTCTCAAAACAAACAAAACACCCTGCTGACATTTTATTGGCAGTACATTGAATCTCCAAATTGATACATTTGGAAAGAATTATCTCAAATTTAGTTTTACAGTTCATGAACATGGAATAAATTTCTATTTGTTGAATTCACCTTTATTTCCTTAAGATTTTGTTGTTTCCTGTCTAAAGGTCTTGCATATCTGTTAATTTTATTCCAAAGTGTTTTACTTTTTTTTTTTTTTTTGAGACGGAGTTTTGCTTTTTTTACCCAGGCTGGAGTGCAATGGCGCGATCTCGGCTCACCGCAACCTCCACCTCCTGGGTTCAGGCAATTCTCCTGCCTCAGCCTCCTGAGTAGCTGGGATTACAGGCACGCACCACCATGCCCAGCTAATTTTTTGTATTTTTAGTAGAGACGGGGTTTCACCATGTTGACCAGGATAGTCTCGATCTCTTGACCTCGTGATCCAACCGCCTCGGCCTCCTAAAGTGCTGGGATTACAGGCTTGAGCCACCGCGCCCGGCCGTGTTTTACATTTTTTATGTTTTTAATAAACTATTCAGGTTTTAAAAATTTTATTTTTCAGTAGCTTTGCTTTAATGTAATTGTTTTATACTTTGATCCTTTATTCAACAATAGATTCATTTATTTTAAAGCTTGTGGAATTAAAAAAAATTTATGTACACAATCATGTAATCTACATTATCTGCAAATAAAGATAATTTTACTTCCTGCCATCTATACCTTTCATTTTTTCCCTTGATATTGGATAGGTCTTCTACTACAAAATTGGAAAGACATGTAAGAGCAGACAGCCTTACCTTATTCCTGAAATCAGAGAGACAGTGGTCCATATTTCCCTTTAAGTAAAATGGTAATTGTAGTTTTTATTCTTTAGATCTCCTTTATCAGATTAAAGAAGTTGCCCTCTATTTCTAGTTTGCTGATAATTTTTATCATGATTAATGTTGTAGATTGTTAAATGGACTTTCTGTACCTAATGAAATGATTGAATGGTTTTCTCCTTTATTAATGTTGAAAGATTACATTGATTTTTTAAAAATTAAACTTACACTTGTTTAAGTTTAAGGTGATGTCCATCATTTTTCCTCACTGTAAACTCATGTTTTCCCCTTTTCATATTGTTTGCTAGAAGCAAGTCAGTAAGTCTAAGTGGTGTAATTTCTGATAAATTTTATTTTCAGAAAGTTCATCATTTTATGTACATATCAAATACATTAGCACAGTTGTATGATTTTTTTAACATTATTTCTTTATCAATGATCGTTTCCCCCTTGTCATTGTTTTTGGATTTCCCCCCCATCTTTTATTCCCAAGGTATAAAAGAAATAATGGTTTGTATGTATAAATTCTACTGTTTTATTTTATTTATTTTTTTTTTTTGAGACGGAGTTTCGCTCTTGTTACCCAGACTGGAGTGCAATGGCGCGATCTCGGCTCACCGCAACCTCCGCCTCCTGGGTTCAGGCAATTCTCCTGTCTCAGCCTCCTGAGTAGCTGGGATTACAGGCACGTGCCACCATGCCCAGCTAATTTTTTGTATTTTTAGTAGAGACGGGGTTTCACCATGTTGACCAGGATGGTCTTGATCTCTTGACCTCGTGATCCACCCGCCTCGGCCTCCCAAAGTGCTGGGATTACAGGCTTGAGCCACCGCGCCCGACCCTCTACTGTTTTATTTAAATTTTGCCTTTATTATATTTTCCTTTTCTGCAGTCCATGAATTTATCATTCATTTCCTAATTTCTTCCTAATTTTTATTTTTAATTTTGAGACAGAGTCTCACTCTGTTGCCCAGGCTAGAGTACAGTGGTGCAATCTCAGCTCACTACCACCTCTGCTTCCTGGGTTCAAATGATTCTTATGCCTCAGCTTCCTGAGAAGCAAGGACAACAGGTGTGAGTCACCACGCTTGGATAATTTTTGTAATTTTAGTAGAGACGGGGTTTTGTCATGTTGGCCAGGTTAGTCTCAAACTCCTGGCCTCAAGTAATCTGCCTGCCTCAGCCTCCCAAAGTGCTGGGATTACAGGCATGAGCCATTGAGCCTGGCTGTTTTCCCTAATTTTAAAATTGAATGTTTCATTTTAATTTTTAAATTTTTAATTAGATGTAAGCATGTTAATCTTTGAGTTTGCCTCTATGCATTATAATTGAAAGCCATAGATTCTGATATGTAGTATCTCCATTATCACTGTCTTCAAGAAATTCTACAGTTTCAGTTTGTATTTTCTCTTTCACCTAATAGTAGTTGTTGAGTACTTTTTGTTTATAAATAGGAAGTGTTTCGGCATTTTGATATTGCTACTTATCCTTTATTGCATTGGCTCAGAGGATAACATATGTATTATTTTGACTTTTTAAATGTATACCTTTTTCATAGAATTCCACTTGTCTTCAATACTTGACCCATTTAGCACATTAGATTTCAAATGCTGCTCCCCCATACAGATTATCCATCTTCAGCCTGCATCCAACATACTCTTTGTTGCAAACTACTAGGCACTCAGTTTCCTAGACTCTTGTCCCATTTGTTACTTTATTTCTCCCAACATCCCCAAGTTTATTTGCTTTGACTTTGATAAGCCTTTCAATATATTAATTCATGCAGTTACTGAAAATTGCTGAGATGCATTTCTGTAAAATTCAAGAATGATTCGCCTTGACTTTAAATGGATAGAAGGAAGAATTTGGGAAAGGCACTGAAGAAACACAACAGATTGAGCATGTGTAGAATGAAAGGAAGTAAAACTTCAACCTTACAGGCTTTATTTGTAGATAAAACCATTATTCAAAACATTACTGAAAAAGGTAATGCAACGTGTGATTGACATAGAAACAGAAAAGCAATTATGGCTATGCAAGGAAGACATGGACAACAGTGATAGAGGCACGTATATTTTTAAGGGGACAGGTTATTGTAGAATGGCCATGTATCAGCCTTTTCCACTTATATTAGTAATGGAGCTAGTTTAGAAGTCCATTTTTCTCACCTCTAAAGTAAATGTGAGGTAAAAGATTAATTAGGAGTGAGAGATTGGAGTCAGGGAGAGATATTTGATAATTTTTACATAATTTTCAGAAATAAAATGGTTATTTTACTCAGCTCTCTTTTCCAATGACCTTTATTTTCATCCAATTTATACTTTTAACTCAATATTTTATTCTACAATTAATTAGGTAATACTTACCATATGGTAGGGACTTGTTTTTCAGTGGTAATTGAAAGAAATGTTTTCAGGTAACAAAATAAGTAGCAAAACAAATGAGATTTAGTAAATTTGAAATTGAGAGAGGCAGTATGAAGGCACATAATTGGGTATTTGAATATGGACTAAAATATATGAATTTGCATAGAGTTAGCAAATTATTTAAAGAAGCCACTTAAGAGGATTTCTGAAAGGTGGAACATCTATGTAACACCCAAGAGATGGGAAACATCTGTGGTATGTTCTCATAGCTGAAAAGGTGCAATATGGTCTCACGCCTGTAATCCTAGCACTTTGGGAGGCCGAGGTGGGTGGATCACCTGAGGTCAGGAGTTCAAGACCAGCCTGGCCATCATGGTGAAACCCCATCTT